ATTCATTCAAACTATTGTTCCATAGACTTTCAGCAGCAATAGTGTATACTACAATATTCAAGTTCTGTGCCATGTCCCTAAATGATTGGTTATTGAACTCTGCCATTGTCAGTGAGGATAAGATCCTGGAGTTCCAAAATATCCTATCTAGTGTGTAAATATGGCACAAGAATGTCAGAACTTTCCTTATGAGAAACCCTAACTCCAACACTGTATCTTGTACTATGATCAATTAAATGCAATATTTTTTTACATTAATTTCTTTTATGTCTATGACAATGCTCTCATTAAAATATGAACCTAATGAGAACCCAACAATGGTCCTGTGTTCAGTTTTTTAAAATTCAAATATATATTTCAGATGAATTAGGAAGTTCTTATAAAATTTTGATGAATTCAGGGTTTTTATTACTGCAATCTTAACTAGATCACACAACTTTTTACTACTTTGATGGCTGAATTGTCTATGTAATTTTGTTGCAATTCTAATTTTTTCTGACCTGTTTTTGGTAGTAATTCCTTTAATGAAAAATATTTGGAGGTCTGATGTGATAGTAACCAGACAAGGTACACCACAATGGAACATTTTTCCAAGCATTGTGACACTATCATTTTCAAAGTTGAGACATGTCTTGACTCTTTTCATGGCATCTTTGCTTAATAAAAGTGGAATGTTCAAGTGCACAACATCAGTAACAATTCTGACATCAATGTCGGCAATAACACATGGTAGAGTAGCTGTGAACAGTGATTTTAGTTTCTCTCCATTGCTGAACTTGTAAGTTTTTAGTCCTTCTCTACAGATATGTAGTCATCCTTTTGACTCCTATCCTGTTTATTACTTGTGCTATCAGCATATGGACAATTGTAACTCCAGTGGAATTTGTAACCACATGTAAAGCATTTGGTGGTATTGCCTTCAGGTTCAAAATGAGCCTGAACTTCTGAAAGTCAGAAAATACTGGAATTTGGTTCTTATGTCCTCTTCTGCTTCTGTTACCCTGCCAACTGAAAAACCGAGAAGGACGCCAGTTTGACAAGTGACTGTAATATACTTCATTAGTGTCTCCCTGGCTGTTTTCATTGTAGGCACAATCCATTTCTCTCTTTATCACAACTGGTTGAGTATTTCTTTACAAAGCATCAGAAAACTGTGCATAATTTTTTAAAGTTTTTTGGACATTGCAGACAGTGTTAATTTGCTGATGGTTACTTTTACTAGTCACTCATTCTCTGGTGTCAGATTTGCACTTGCTTTGTAGGTAAGTACTGGCTCTGGTAATTGTATTTTGTAGTCCTGATATGATGATCAAAGTTAATAAGGTAGTCATCTATTGACATGTCATTCTTTCATCGATTTTGTTTAAACAATTCATATGTCAAAAAAGCCAACTGGTGGGCATCCTATGAAAAAAAGCATATCCAATTTTTCATATAATTTTTCCATTCCATCATTGGCATGTAATATGGTAATGTCCTGTTCTAATACAGCCTCTCTGGATTTTCCTTGCAGGGATGAAAATACTATGGGGACTTGGCAAGGTTCGTTGATGCAAGTAACAAGTTCTCAATGACTTGCATTTCTTTTTACTAAGTGTCGTATTTATCCGTATTCAAAATAAGTGAAGGAATAAATTTGGAAGGCATTATGTTGATCAATGTGCTATGATACCAATGTAAGTTCAAATTAAAGAACCTCAAATACATAATGGAAAGAGAATGTTTTATTTTGACTTATTCGTTCTCCATGTGTGTAACCTAATCTAAAATGGTCCTTTCTAGGTAAACTGCCCTCTTCTGGTTGAAGAGTTGCAAAGGGGAGCAATTTGTGAAGATTAACAGAAAGGATTTAAGTCTCATATTTTTATAGTCCTGAAATAGCACCATTGAGCAGATATGTTGAAAAGTGAAGGTAATCCTCACATATGTAAACTGAGTGAAAAATATTTTAAATAACAAATGATAAATTATATATTTTTATCAAATGTATGTAAATTTATGCATGAATAAAAGGACATAACTTTTTAATTTTTGACATTTTTCATTATTAAGTATCAACAGGTATTTTTCATCTATTTTTTGTAATAGTTTCAAGTTCTTTGAATATTAGATGAAGCACTGTAAGATGTAAAAAGCATTGTCATTATTATTAATTTTTGATTCGTCTTTCTTTCATCTTATTTCTCTTGCTTGTTTCCACCTCGGAGTAATAAGACGTAATAGTCTTAAGTTGTTTGAATTTCTTAGATGAAGCATTGTCATTATTATTAATTTTTGATTCGTCTTTCTTTCATCTTATTTCTCTTGCTTGTTTCCACCTCGTAGTAATAAGACGTAATAGTCTTAAGTTGTTTGAATTTCTTAGATGAAGCATTGTCATTATTATTAATTTTTGATTCGTCTTTCTTTCATCTTATTTCTCTTGCTTGTTTCCACCTCGTAGTAATAAGCTGTAATAGTCTTAAGTTGTTTGAATTTCTTAGATGAAGCATTGTCATTATTATTAATTTTTGATTCGTCTTTCTTTCATCTTATTTCTCTTGCTTGTTTCCACCTTGTAGTCATAAGACGTAATAGTCATAAGTTGTTTGAATTTCTTAGATGAAGCATTGTCATTATTATTAATTTTTGATTCGTCTTTCTTTCATCTTATTTCTCTTGCTTGTTTCCACCTTGTAGTCATAAGACGTAATAGTCTTAAGTTGTTTGAATTTCTTAGATGAAGCATTGTCATTATTATTAATTTTTGATTCGTCTTTCTTTCATCTTATTTCTCTTGCTTGTTTCCACCTCATAGTAATAAGACGTAATAGTCTTAAGTTGTTTGAATTTCTTAGATGAAGCATTGTCATTATTATTAATTTTTGATTCGTCTTTCTTTCATCTTATTTCTCTTGCTTGTTTCCACCTTGTAGTCATAAGACGTAATAGTCTTAAGTTGTTTGAATTTCTTAGATGAAGCATTGTCATTATTATTAATTTTTTTGATTCGTCTTTCTTTCATCTTATTTCTCTTGCTTGTTTCCACCTTGTAGTCATAAGACGTAATAGTCTTAAGTTGTTTGAATTTCTTAGATGAAGCATTGTCATTATTATTAATTTTTGATTCGTCTTTTCTTTCATCTTATTTCTCTTGCTTGTTTCCACCTCATAGTAATAAGACGTAATAGTCTTAAGTTGTTTGAATTTCTTAGATGAAGCATTGTCATTATTATTAATTTTGATTCGTCTTTCTTTCATCTTATTTCTCTTGCTTGTTTCCACCTTGTAGTCATAAGACGTAATAGTCTTAAGTTGTTTGAATTTCTTAGATGAAGCATTGTCATTATTATTAATTTTTGATTCGTCTTTCTTTCATCTTATTTCTCTTGCTTGTTTCCACCTCGTAGTAATAAGCTGTAATAGTCTTAAGTTGTTTGAATTTCTTAGATGAAGCATTGTCATTATTATTAATTTTTGATTCGTCTTTCTTTCATCTTATTTCTCTTGCTTGTTTCAACCTTGTAGTCATAAGACGTAATAGTCTTAAGTTGTTTGAATTTCTTAGATGAAGCATTGTCATTATTATTAATTTTTGATTCGTCTTTCTTTCATCTTATTTCTCTTGCTTGTTTCCACCTTGTAGTCATAAGACGTAATAGTCTTAAGTTGTTTGAATTTCTTAGATGAAGCATTGTCATTATTATTAATTTTTGATTCGTCTTTCTTTCATCTTATTTCTCTTGCTTGTTTCCACCTTGTAGTCATAAGACGTAATAGTCTTAAGTTGTTTGAATTTCTTAGATGAAGCATTGTCATTATTATTCATTTTTGATTCGTCTTTTCTTTCATCTTATTTCTCTTGCTTGTTTCCACCTTGTAGTCATAAGACGTAATAGTCTTAAGTTGTTTGAATTTCTTAGATGAAGCATTGTCATTATTATTCATTTTTGATTCGTCTTTCTTTCATCTTATTTCTCTTGCTTGTTTCCACCTTGTAGTCATAAGACGTAATAGTCTTAAGTTGTTTGAATTTCTTAGATGAAGCATTGTCATTATTATTAATTTTGATTCGTCTTTCTTTCATCTTATTTCTCTTGCTTGTTTCCACCTTGTAGTCATAAGACGTAATAGTCTTAAATTGTTTGAATTTCTTAGATGAAGCATTGTCATTATTATTAATTTTTGATTCGCCTTTCTTTCATCTTATTTCTCTTGCTTGTTTCCACCTTGTAGTCATAAGACATAATAATCTTAAGTTGATTAAATTTTTTAGATGAAGAATTTTCATTATTATTCTTTTTTATGTCTTTCTTTCATCTGTAATGTAGAATTTCAATAAGTTTTTATAATTTTATTATTTGCAATGATTTTTTGCAAAAAAAAGATAAATAAATATTAATCCTTTAAATGCAGAAAATGTCAGCAAAAATGAACAACTTTGCAATATTTTAACATTAGAACAGCAACCGATTCCAGGTAATTCTTCACTTTTATAAATTTAACCTTTATTTCTTTGTCTTTTAAAGCTTTTGCACTTTTGCCAATGCCTTATATTAGTTAGAAATCTCAACTTGTATTCTTTGCCAATTTATCCCGATTTACCATTCCCCCATGGTTTATGGAATGATCTATCTTGATGCCAACAGATGGAATGGTACTGTACTGATGAACTGGTTGATTATATTACATGGCAGCAAGAACTAGTGGTTGTCTGTTAGAAGAGGTAAGAAGATTCTGGCAGAGTTAGGGTTTATTCTGGGTTCCAAAGTTTTATTTTGCTTTTTCATGAATTCCTCTCTCATTAGATCATCACTGATATTATCTTGACATGGTAAGGAGAGTTATCAGTTTTTTATCTCTGTCTAAAATGGTAAGAAATATTAACAGTTGTAATGATATATCCAACAGAGTGGCTGTAAACATATTAATATCATATTTGTCAAGGTTGTTAAGGGTGGCTACAGCCTTTTACAGCTACTAAATTTTTATATTAGTTATGAAAGAACTCTCAACTTCTGACTATATCACATTGAAGCAAATGTTCTCATATGATCACTGAACTTAAGCAACATCAAGCCTGGCCAGTACTTAGATGGGTGACTGCTTGGGAATACTAGATGCTAAAAGCTTGGATGTGTGGATGGTGTAATGGATAACTGCTTGAAATTGTTAATCAGAGAGCTGAGTACCAATTCCATTTGGGTTTGTTATATTCACTTAGGATTTCACTTGGAAAAGGTATGAATTCACCTCTTCTCCCCCAGCTATGGGTTAATAAGACCATCAGTAAATCATTATTATCTCAAAAATTTTTTAAAATCTAAAAATATTTTCTGGCTTTAAATAACCGGCAAAAGGTTGATAAACCATAAAAACAAATAAAAAAAAACTTTCTTTGTGAACTATGTCTCTTCAGGACATAGATGATTATCTTTCTCCATAGCTTCCTTTCTTTTATTGCCTTTAGCAGTAATTGATCTTGTGACCTGTCATTGAATTTGTGCTATTTTTTTTATCACTAATTTTGTACAAACTCATGAAATAGATTACCTGTTGCTTCCTTCTACTTCTCTTGACTCTGATGCACCCTGTGAGTGTTAAATTCTCCAAACATTTCCTTCTCAGTACACTCCCACAAAATTTTAACTGTTTCTTTCTAAATGTTACTATTTCTCTGTAGTTCCTATTTTTCTTTAAAACTTCCTCTTTTGTCACATGCTGAGTCTATGGTATTCTCAATATTCACTGGTAATGTCACATCTTAGTTGTATCTTTTTATTAGTTTAACATTTATTGCTATATAGAAGATTAGACATTACATCACACTCCCACATTCTTTCCTTTGTTTGTAATATTTTCCTATTTCTTAATACTTTGCTCAGTTTCAGAAAAACATCTTTGACTAATCATCTTCAGATTTCTGTTTCATGCAAAATCGCCTTTCTGATATAATATCTGTTATTTCTTTTAGGCCATTGGATTCTTTGCTATCATACAATTTTTTCATTCTCACTGCAACATTAGGATATCTTAATCATGCTTCAACTCAATGATGCCACTGTAATAATGTTGTTTTCTTGAAGAGAGTACAAGCATTTTATCCTTCCACAGCTGAAGATCACTAACCCTAATGGAAAATTGGATACAGGTTCGATTCTTGTCAAAGGCACAATCCTTCTTAGGACTTCTCGTTTTAGGCTGGTTGTTATAAATTTCACTGTTTCAAATAGAAATAAAAAAAACAGGGAGAGCAACTCAAATATTAAAATTAAAAATTAACGTTTATAATAATAAAGAAAAAGAAATAATGTTGGATAAAAATCTATTCAAAAGTTATTATTTATGAAACTGACGTTAACAGATATAGATTTGTTGGAGTTATGAAACTGACGTTAACAGATATAGATTTGTTGGAGTTATGAAACTGACGTTAACAGATATAGATTTGTTGGAGTTATGAAACTGACGTTAACAGATATAGATTTGTTGGAGTTATGAAACTGACGTTAACAGATATAGATTTGTTGGAGTTATGAAACAACGTTAACAGATATAGATTTGTTGGAGTTATGAAACTGACGTTAACAGATATAGATTTGTTGGAGTTATGAAACTGACGTTAACAGATATAGATTTGTTGGAGTTATGAAACTGACGTTAACAGATATAGATTTGTTGGAGTTATGAAACTGACGTTAACAGATATAGATTTGTTGGAGTTATGTTGGAACTGACGTTAACAGATATAGATTTGTTGGAGTTATGAAACTGACGTTAACAGATATAGATTTGTTGGAGTTATGAAACCGACGTTACGATTAATTTGTTGGAGTTATGAACTGACGTTAAAGATATAGATTTGTTGGAGTTATGAAACTGACGTTAACAGATATAGATTTGTTGGAGTTATGAAACCGACGTTAACAGATATAGATTTGTTGGAGTTATGAAACCGACGTTAACAGATATAGATTTGTTGGAGTTATGAAACTGACGTTAACAGATATAGATTTGTTGGAGTTATGAAACTGACGTTAACAGATATAGATTTGTTGGAGTTATGAAACTGACGTTAACAGATATAGATTTGTTGGAGTTATGAAACTGACGTTAACAGATATAGATTTGTTGGAGTTATGAAACTGACGTTAACAGATATAGGATTTGTTGGACGTTAACAGATATAGATTTGTTGAAAACTGACGTTAACAGATATAGATTTGTTGGAGTTATGAAACGACGTTAACAGATATAGATTTGTTGGAGTTATGAAACTGACGTTAACAGATATAGATTTGTTGGAGTTAAACCGACGTTAACAGAAACGTTAACAGATATAGATTTGTTGGAGTTATGAAACTGATTAACAGATATAGATTTGTTGGAGTTATGAAACTGACGTTAACAGATATAGATTTGTTGGAGTTATGAAACTGACGTTAACAGATATAGATTTGTTGGAGTTATGAAACTGACGTTAACAGATATAGATTTGTTGGAGTTATGAAACTGACGTTAACAGATATAGATTTGTTGGAGTTATGAAACTGACGTTAACAGATATAGATTTGTTGGAGTTATGAAACCGACGTTAACAGATATAGATTTGTTGGAGTTATGAAACTGACGTTAACAGATATAGATTTGTTGGAGTTATGAAACTGACGTTAACAGATATAGATTTGTTGGAGTTATGAAACTGACGTTAACAGATATAGATTTGTTGGAGTTATGAAACTGACGTTAACAGATATAGATTTGTTGGAGTTATGAAACTTTAACAGATATAGATTTGTTGGAGTTGAAACTGACGTTAACAGATATAGATTTGTTGGAGTTATGAAACTGACGTTAACAGATATAGATTTGTTGGAGTTATGAAACTGACGTTAACAGATATAGATTTGTTGGAGTTATGAAACTGACGTTAACAGATATAGATTTGTTGGAGTTATGAAACTGACGTTAACAGATATAGATTTGTTGGAGTTATGAAACTGACGTTAACAGATATAGATTTGTTGGAGTTATGAAACTGACGTTAACAGATATAGATTTGTTGGAGTTATGAAACTGACGTTAACAGATATAGATTTGTTGGAGTTATGAAACTGACGTTAACAGATATAGATTTGTTGGAGTTATGAAACTGACGTTAACAGATATAGATTTGTTGGAGTTATGAAACTGACGTTAACAGATATAGATTTGTTGGAGTTATGAAACTGACGTTAACAGATATAGATTTGTTGGAGTTATGAAACTGACGTTAACAGATATAGATTTGTTGGAGTTATGAAACTGACGTTAACAGATATAGATTTGTTGGAGTTATGAAACTGACGTTAACAGATATAGATTTGTTGGAGTTATGAAACGACGTTAACAGATATAGATTTGTTGGAGTTATGAAACTGACGTTAACAGATATAGATTTGTTGGAGTTATGAAACCGACGTTAACAGATATAGATTTGTTGGAGTTATGAAACTGACGTTAACAGATATAGATTTGTTGGAGTTATGAAACAGTTAACAGATATAGATTTGTTGGAGTTATGAAACTGACGTTAACAGATATAGATTTGTTGGAGTTATGAAACAACAGATATAGATTTGTTGGAGTTATGAAACTGACGTTAACAGATATAGATTTGTTGGAGTTATGAAACTGACGTTAACAGATATAGATTTGTTGGAGTTATGAAACTGACGTTAACAGATATAGATTTGTTGGAGTTATGAAACTGACGTTAACAGATATAGATTTGTTGGAGTTATGAAACCGACGTTAACAGATATAGATTTGTTGGAGTTATGAAACTGACGTTAACAGATATAGATTTGTTGGAGTTATGAAACCGACGTTAACAGATATAGATTTGTTGGAGTTATGAAACTGACGTTAACAGATATAGATTTGTTGAGTTATGAAACTGACGTTAACAGATATAGATTTGTTGGAGTTATGAAACGACGTTAACAGATATAGATTTGTTGGAGTTATGAAACTGACGTTAACAGATATAGATTTGTTGGAGTTATGAAACTGACGTTAACAGATATAGATTTGTTGGAGTTATGAAACTGACGTTAACAGATATAGATTTGTTGAGTTATGAAACTGACGTTAACAGATATAGATTTGTTGGAGTTATGAAACTGACGTTAACAGATATAGATTTGTTGGAGTTATGAAACTTTAACAGATATAGATTTGTTGGAGTTATGAAACTGACGTTAACAGATATAGATTTGTTGGAGTTATGAAACTGACGTTAACAGATATAGATTTGTTGGAGTTATGAAACTGACGTTAACAGATATAGATTTGTTGGAGTTATGAAACTGACGTTAACAGATATAGATTTGTTGGAGTTATGAAACGACGTTAACAGATATAGATTTGTTGGAGTTATGAAACTGACGTTAACAGATATAGATTTGTTGGAGTTATGAAACTGACGTTAACAGATATAGATTTGTTGGAGTTATGAAACTGACGTTAACAGATATAGATTTGTTGGAGTTATGAAACTGACGTTAACAGATATAGATTTGTTGGAGTTATGAAACTGACGTTAACAGATATAGATTTGTTGGAGTTATGAAACTGACGTTAACAGATATAGATTTGTTGGAGTTATGAAACTGACGTTAACAGATATAGATTTGTTGGAGTTATGAAACTGACGTTAACAGATATAGATTTGTTGGAGTTATGAAACCGACGTTAACAGATATAGATTTGTTGGAGTTATGAAACTGACGTTAACAGATATAGATTTGTTGGAGTTATTGAAACTGACGTTAACAGATATAGATTTGTTGGAGTTATGAAACAACGTTAACAGATATAGATTTGTTGGAGTTATGAAACTGACGTTAACAGATATAGATTTGTTGGAGTTATGAAACTGACGTTAACAGATATAGATTTGTTGGAGTTATGAAACTGACGTTAACAGATATAGATTTGTTGGAGTTATGAAACTGACGTTAACAGATATAGATTTGTTGGAGTTATGAAACTGACGTTAACAGATATAGATTTGTTGGAGTTATGAAACTGACGTTAACAGATATAGATTTGTTGGAGTTATGAAACTGACGTTAACAGATA